AAAGAAAGTCCTCCTGAAACAGCTACTTTCATATAAACATCCCAAAAATACTTTTATGATATTTTAACATAGATCAAAAACGTTTGTCAACAGGAACTTTTTCTTGAGACAATAAACGTATTTCTCTCTCTCTCTATCTCTCTTAATAGCACTCACCTATATTTCCGCTGAGGTGCTTTATAACAAAACGAGGCAGAGGACTTGCAGGCTTGTCATCTTGGCACAGTTTCAGGAAAACACAGACTTCATCCGGTTTCAAATCGCTGATGATCAATTCAACCAACTCTTCGGTGTAGGTATTTACGAAATCCTCACACTCAGGCACCATATTGCTGGGCAGGTCGAGACACAGTTCATCAAGAGCGTTCTCTATGTTTTTCTGTAACACAAACAAAATGAATTTCAACCGTAACTAAGTCACAAAACTATTCAACTACCTTTGTTTTCACAGACTTCCCCATATACTCAAGTTTCGTAACAGTGAGAAGACATAAAGGGCATTTGGTGCTCCCTTCGGCTTGCATAAATATCTCCACGTCTCTGTTTCCTGAAGAGGGGCATGCTTTGATGAGTGGGCATATCTGAGAAGGGTCGATTTCTTGAGCTAGGAGAGCAACCAGAGCAGGTTCGTAGCTATCGACGAACTGAACGCAAGTAGCATTTATTGAAGAAGGAAGTTTGTCGCAAGCTTTGTCTATCACTTCCTTGATGTTTTCCTAGAATATTACACGAAACTGATAAGCTTGAACAATATGGGACAAACGGTGGATGTGTGAACACAAGTATGAAAGAACACTGAAAGAAAACTGTACACTGTTGAGTACCTTACCTCTGTCTTAGGGTCGGTGATAGCCACCTGTACTTCATGTAAGAAGTATTCGCAGAAAACGCAGACCTCCTTGTTGTACAAAATTTGTGTGTGCGGGGGCATTAGTAAGTCGATGGGTAGCTGCTGTTGTGGGTTGGGTAAAATTCTGACAGACGAAGTATCCTGATTCAATTTGACATGTACGAGAGGTGGTTGCTCTTTTGATGACGCTGCTAATTTTGACGTTTTGAGTGGTAGCAGAGGAGCTATGATTCCGCCCTGAGAATGACATATGAATATACTCACTATATGTTTACACTATTTAAAGTAGCAGTTGAATAAATAACTTTTGTTGTGGAATGTTACCAAAATCAGATCCAGAAAAATGAATCATCACTGGAGTTTTTATAGTAGAAGTCAACAAGCTTTCTTCTTCAGGTTTATGCAAATTGAGTAAATATTCAACTTCTTAACCAATTCAGTTACATGCATATTTTTGAGATTATTATTTTCAATATGGTCATTTATATTAGTTTACTATTTAGCTGAGGAAGCTATTAACATTTCCACTACTCACTACAATACATCATTTATTTGAATACAGCAACAATAAAGGCAACTATATTCGATAGCGGAAAGAGAGAATGAAAAGAATACAGACAAATAATGAAAGGTAAAGAGAGGGAGTGGGATCCCCGTGTTAAGGGGAGGGACAGTGGGGAAGTGAGATATGAGAGGAGAGAAGAGAGGACAGAGGTGGATGAAGAGAGGGAAGAGAGAACAGATGTGTGAGAGAAAGAGAGAAGAGAGGAAAGAGAGAACCGATATGGAAGAGGGAGAAGAGAGGAAAAAGAGAACAAAGGTGGAAGAAAAGAGGAAAGAAAGAACAGATGTGGATGACGAGAGACAAAAGAGAGGAAAAAGAGCAGAGGTGGAAGAAAGAGGAGAGAACAGGGGTGGAAGGGAGGGATAATAGACGTGGGAAAATAGAGAGATGAAGGATAGAACAAAGTCGGAAGAAAAGAAGAGAGAACAGAGTTGAAAGAAAAGAGGAAAGAGAGAACAGAGTTGAAAGAAAAGGGGAAAGAGAGAACAGAGTTGAAAGAAAAGAGGAAAGAGAGAACAGAGGTGGCGGAAGGGAGAGGTGGAGAAGAATAGAAGAAGAGAATATAGGTGGAAGAAGAGAAAGAACAGATGTGGAAGAAGATAGAGAAGAAAGTGACGAGAGAACAAAGCTGATAGAAGAGTGAACAGAGAAAAGAGGCGAACGTGAGAGGAAAGACAGAAAATGAGAACAGAGGAGTTGAAAGAGAAAGAAATCATCCATTCATTTTCATTGCAGAAATGGAGTTTTGCTGTACAGATTTCCAATCTATGCATTAGGTTGACAGAGACTCATTAACTCCATCCCAGTTGAGTTACACAAGTTTTCTGTCAACCCCATACAAGACAACTTCAAAGGGGAATTGGCCGAACTCATTTCTTAAAATCATAACTAACAGTGTTCTTTTTCTATACTAAATACTGTGGAATATCAGAGATTTACTGAAAACCACACATACAAAAGTGACGAGTCTTTAAAAGGAATTCTGAAGCTCCTTAAAATGGCACACACCTTATATGAAAGTGAAAAGGATTAGAAATATCACTTTTTTTGTACATGTCATTATCATTGATCCTATCAGAACAAAATATGTTTTGGTTCAATTGAAATTTCTGAAGAAAAAACTTTCAGATTGCCATTTTCGTGGAAAACTGATTTTTTTTGCTGATTTCATACCAATTATTTATATTCCCAATTTCTAGAATATTTCCATATTCTTTCAAGCCAAAAATGTTCTCAAAACAACTTCGAATGATATTCGGGTCACTACAATCTGACAAAAATTTATTAGCTCATCGAAAATACATCACATTTCAATTCAGCGGCAACCAACCTCTTTTCCAGTGGCGTTACAAATTCCGATATCAGCACACACTCCCTTGGAATCCAGCCCATTCACCAAATAATTATAGATTTCCGAATAGTACTGCTCCACCAGGCTGCCACATTCTTCGGCAAACTTCCCGGTCTGTTTACAAAGTCCTTCCAAAACCTGCTTGAATTCCAGCTCCGTCGTGTTGGCGATCAATAAGTCCTTGAGGTGCTTCACGAGTTGCTAAAGTAACTAATTTCACAGAGTATCTAAAGATGGCCTCATTGGGTAGCCAGTGGCGTACAGTTGTGAAATGAATAGGTGAAATACTGTGTGCCGATTTTTGATATACATGGACTTGAAATGTGAAACAAAACTGTTCCATTTCAATGTACTGACTGAAAATTATCCATGAATTCACAAAAATTCACTTATTTTTTTTTGCAACTCACTTGACTGGCACATATCCGATGTGGGACATTGGCGTTATTTCAACTTTGGCCTCGTGCGTGTGGAATTGAGCACTGCATTCCCCAGATAAAAGACATACTTCGTTCGGATTCAGGTGTTCTTGAAGATGGTTGTAAATCTCAGTGAAATAGGTTATGACAATGTTGCTGCAGCCATCCGAAAAACTTCCAAATTTGCCACAATACTGAAAAAGAATTCAACAAGCCCATTAGCAACTGCTATGGATAACTGATCACTGCCAAATGTTAGGTTATTTTGCATATAGTTGTTCAAATGCCCAATTATCAAACATGTGAATGAATATTTTTTGAACAGAGTAGTATATTCAGGAAATTAAAAGTATCCTTATCCTCTGACAGTATGCTGCTTTACATATCATGCTCCCAGAACTGTAACACTCTTCTCGACGCGCAATTGATCAACCCAGTCGACGTCATCGGAGGATGATATATACTAGTAGTAAAGTGCTATTATTATATTTCATCACAAATCAAATCAATCGAATCAAAATATGCTATATTACCCAAGATCTGAACATCTTATTGGCAAAGTCTAGTAAAGTAAAACGTGTATATGGGACAATTAACAAATATAAACTATAAAATAATGCTTATAGAGACAAGAAAAAGAGACAGAACAATATTAAGCCCAGCTGAACAGATACAAATATAAGTACATGAATATATGAATATCGAGTAAATGTAAATATATAATGCTACGTAATGAACATTGATATCCATTTTGTGTTGATTTCAATAACTTGGTTACACAACGCTACATGCCAATTACTCAATAGAGCCTTGGTAGGCTCTATAATAGGGCCTCCCAACAAGGAATTCTTTTACTTTCTTTCTGAATTTCATTTCATTATATATTCCCCTTAAATTAATGGGAAGGTAATTAAATAACTTCTTGCTATTGAAAATAATAGAATTTTGTGTAAGGGAAGTGAAGTAAGACTGATGTGTTCTATAAGTTGGGGTGGTATTAAATTGATTTTTATATTTTTTGTGGATAAGACACACTGTTTCCATAATGAAAAGACATACTAAGGTCAGAATTTTTTGCTTCACAAATAATGGACGGCACGAATCCTTGCATAAATATCTGATGGATACTTTTTGTAAAGAGAATACCATACTGAAACGAAATTGTGCACAATTTCCCCAGAAATAAATTCTAGAACGTAAATAGGACTCAATTTGTGCAAAATAAACTGATCTTGTGATAGTAGTGTCTAACTCTCTTGCAACAACTCACTGCATGACATCCTGCTGCTAGTCTTTTACATAAGTAGTCGACATGGGAATCAAATTTCAGATTTTCATCAATGAAGAGCCCTAAAAATTTATTTTTATCCAAAATTTCAATTTTTACATTTTCCAAATATACTTCCCCTATGTTACATCTAAACGTGACCACATTTGTTTTGTTGATGTTGAATGATGGAAGATTGGAATCACACCACATGTGTCGACGATGATTTGATCAAGTAAATTTGAGGCAGTATTGCTATGCTAGAGGATAGTGGTGTCGTCTACAAAATATGTGAATTTACCACTTTCTGAACATGGACTAAGTCATTGACATACATGGGAAACAACACCGGTCCCAAAACGGAACCTTGTGGGACCCCACTGCCAATGAAACGTTCCTCTGATGAAATTCCATTTAATAGAACATTCTGCTGAACTCAAACCAAAGTAATGCAAATCCGTAAAGTTCTAGCTTGCGAAGAAGTTATATATTTATGAAGATAAAAATAAATGACTTTCATGAAATCATGCTCATGTACTTGTAGAACACATTTCATGAAGTGAAGTTTGTTATAAACTTCATTATCAGTAATTATGGATTCAGGAACTCAATGACGTCATGGCTATGATAAAAATTTCAAACATTGTGGGTTTACTGGAAGAAAATCAGCATACATCGAGAAGTGATACTGATAAAGAAAATTTCATGAATACCAAATATGCAAATCACCCTCTTTCAACAAATCAACAAGTATTAATTGAAATCCAATCTTGTTGGGGAATTATTTATTTATTTATTTGTTTACAAACTCTACAGACCATGGCCCAGTCACAGAGTAGGAAAGGTAAATATCACAAATAGATTTGTACATACAACAAAATGAAAAAAAAGTTACAAAAAAAATATTCAACAAGAGTTATACAATTTCATACAACCTATTTCTAAAACTAGTAAGACTTTGGAAGAAAATATCACAGTCATTTTGTACATTATTATAGGCATTGCACACTGATTGATTTCTCAAGTGATACGAACTGAACAAAGCAATTAATCACCTGAAAATATTTTTTGAATCCGGTATTTGACTGGACAGGAGCTAGTTATCCAGTATTTATCCGGATAGGCCGGACAGTTACCAGATATGTTTCGTGTCTGATCAAAACCACAAAATAAGAGCTGAAATACAAAGAAAGGACCCGACTCACCCATAAGAAACTGTGCAGAACCTCATCCCGGGTCATTTTGCTGAAATTCTCCTCCAATACGTTCACGACTTTGTGACAACCATCACATTTATTGGGAGGATCGACGGGAGCAACTTTCGTGGAGCTCTCTTCGGCCAAAAGTTCCTGCACTCTCTGATTGTTGCATAGTCCAGCTACAGAGCACACGACTTGCGGATTCATTTGGGAAGCTAGAGTGTCGATGAGTTCAGGAATGAAGTTGTCGGCGATTTTGTCGCATTCTTTGACGATGGGTTTGAGATGGATGAGTTTACAAGTACCTTCGAATACCTGTTTGATAAGATCCTGAAAAGTTTTCAACGCTATGATGAGAAGACACATTTACAGCACTGGCAAGTTTGAATTTTTTTTCAATTTGATGTTGAGTGATTTGATTATGATGGCTGAAGTCATCTCAGATACTGAAATCTAAAACACCTGTTCCTCTATTCAATAATTTAACAAAAAAACCTACACATCTCTCGTCATTCGTCAGCCATAATTCAGAAAATCGTTTTCCTTCCTACCTGCATATTTTCACAACATAATTATTAAAGATCACAGGCAATGGGGGATGTTCCTCCTGACGAAAATCAAGTAGTTTTCATAAAAGTGCTCTAAAATAACGCATTTTAAACTTATCATTTCAACCTTTTTTTTTCAAAAATTATTTACATATTTAAAAAAGAGGAATGAAATAATGCATTCAACATTTAAGCAACATGTTTTTTAGTTTTTTCAACTATTATTTATTTAGGGGGTTTTCAAAATCCCCAGAAGAAATTGTATGAGCTACATACATTCAATAATAAATACTCTCATTATATATTATCACAAGTAAATAAATTGAAGATATACTATCATGGTAAATGTTTCAACGGAGGGTTCATGACCTAAAAGATATGAAATGATGTACGTTGTGAAATGTCAAAGGATAACTTTTCTATATTTTCTTTTGCAGAAAAAGTTGTAGTTTTAGTACTCTAACCTAACCTAACACTTTTGATATATAAATTTCAAATAATCAACTCATTTTACCAGGAACAAATCTTTCTATATCGACAAACAACTATTTCTAGACGTTTGAGAATAATGACACATTTGAAGGCATCTTCATTGTTATTTTTCTGTTCACAGTACAATATATCATTCCTAGAATTCTTATACTTCCTAAATGACATGTTTACTCTATATTTTGAATAATTTTATCTCGCTCTATATGACCTCTCACATAAGGTATAGAAGCAATAACTATTATTATTCATTCAAAGTAAATTAGAAATCGTTTACTTGAGTAATTTGAAAGGTTCAAAACTTTCAATTATATTAATATCAAATGGACTTTCAGTTTAATTTACTCGCTTCTCTACGTACCTGTGTTTCATTGCTCTCTAAATTATCTCTGGCCTCCTTGACCATATCCAGACATATTTGGCAGACGCTACTGGTATCTGGTGGTAGTTTCTGATGAACCCAGACAGTGTCGATACAATGTCGGACTGCATGGCAACCACCAGCAGTTCTGTCAAAAAATATTGTTTAAAACAAATCGAAATTTTTAAACAAAGAGCACATTTTGCCCTGATTTGTTTTTGAAAGAAATTTTTCAAGGGACCCAACTCTTTTGGAATAGAATTAAATTTTGACAGGTAATACCGATCACACGACTATATGCCATTCCCATATGATGCGACCTTCACGGGTCACTCTGTATATATATTTTGGTTCAATTCTATTTTTATTTTTCTCCACTCTTACGTTTCAAGTCGAGCTCCTCAATATTTTCAGATGATTTAGGTTTATCATCTGGTATGAATTTTTTATTGGTAATGATTTCATTTTTCAATACTTTGTCTGAAAATTTCATTATTCCTTCTCTCTTGAACAATGAAGGACACAATTATTGTTGCCTTCAGGCAGAGAAATGAAAAATTGCTATAAGATAATGAATCTCATCCTTGAATAATTTCTACAATGGGCAATAAATATTTTCACGAGTCATAAACATAATTGCTGACAATTTTAAAATATCCTGATGACTTCACATGTGAAACATTCCTTTGATTCAACAGTGGAACAACTGCAGTTGTTAGGTATTGTAATGAAGTAGCACTGCATTTAGTTTTGGAAAAACGAGAATATAAAACTTCAGGGTTGTGTCTGGCATCCGGGAGGGGAGTGACTATACAGGGTGAACGCCTGAACAGTGGTCATCAAATAAATGAAGAAGCACACTTATTATAGGACTCAAATTAAAAGAAACGTGAAAAAGTCTTCCTGGTTTCTAGCTGACGTTTCGGTTGGTTCCCGAGTTTTGCCGTGATCTTCTTTGGTTACAATCCCTAAACGTTTCAACTGCAACTGCGGCAATCATCTTCAGTGGTGTGGTGGAGAACTCTTCTTGACGTATGAAATGAAACTTCAACTTCAGAAGACCTCGGCAAAACCTGGAAACCAACCAAAACACTGACGCCAGCCGCAATATTTTTGTTGAAATTGAATTTTTTATCTGTTGAAATAAATTATTCACCCTCTACGAAATAACAGTTAGTGGCAAGTTTATATTCAAGAAACTAATCGGACAGACCAAAATAGTTTGAGAGATCAGGGCTCAGCTCACAATTCTCTATGGACTAAAAGACCAACTACAAATAAAGTTATTGATGTATTAAAAACTAGATAAAAAACAAGGAGGAATTTTTAGAAAAAAAATACATTCATTTATATATTTATTAGTAGTTGCCACTTTGGGGTATATAGTTTGCATTTAGTGTATATTAGCCTTGAATACTTACGTCAAATTTTTACACCAATACCCTGGTCCCCATGTGCACCTTTCAGAACCCAAATTGTGTTTCTTATGTCCTGGACGAGGTGGTACAAATACCCCACTCGTGAAGGCTGAAAAATGTCATTAGTATACAATTTGTTGGCATAAAGAAATACTGACAGAATATTTCAAAGATAACGAAGAAAGTATAGGGTATAATGTTGGTGTTTGAAGGGCATAAGATTGGGTTTAAGAGTTAATTTCAACAAGATGTTATGAAAGACGCTAGAAAGTCATCAGTCTTGAAAATATTCAACATTTCCTTGAGAATTACAGGTACGGACTTCCTGTAAATGTATCAACACTTTCGATAAGAACAAAATTAATTGAATCTTATACATACTGAAAATAACTGGACTGTATTAGGAGGAGTTAGTTTCAAAAATGAGAAAAAAATAAAAAAAGAAATCTGAAAAAACATTCTTAAGACAGTCTCAGTCCGAACCTGAATTCGTCAACACACTGTTGATTAATTATGGCAATATGGAATTTTTATCATTGAAATATCAATAATACAAATGACCGCATCAATAAATGATTCATGAAGCACTAGATAATAATTGAATCACTATTCCACAGATGACAAAAATGTTTTTCAACACTAAACCTTATATGTGTGGTAAACAAAAATTTATCTCGCCAAAAAGAAAGATTGGTTTGTATGATTAATACCTCGTGATAGGAAATGTTTCTCAAGCAGCACAGAATGTGTTAATATTCACGAGGAAGTTATTCATCAGATCACTAGCTTCAAAGAGGCCTTGAAATTATTCAAAGGATCATAATAAATTTGAATGAAGTCATAAGAAGGAACAAAATAACATCTTTCGCTAAATCTCACCAAGATGATTAATTTCTATAATGAACCAACAGTGATGATAAATGAAATGACAACTTTTCTTGTTATCAACATGTATTTCATAAGTTCACACATGGAGGCTTTACTTTTGATTGCCGTTGTGAATGATATAACAAGTATAGGGAATATTTGCACCAGAAAAATCTTACTTTTTCTCTATCTGGTTATCTCTAATAAAACAATCTTTGATTGCTTTATTAGTGACAAAATCATAGAATCATCTGCTTGATAATCATTTTTTATTTTCATTTTATTTACAGTTGCCATTCCAGCATAAACCATTTTCGTATTTAGGGTTGTATATACATTTTTTATATCATGTACAAATGATACACCAGACACCAACTGGAAGAAATACTACACAGTACAGTATAGTATGAAAGAGGTGGAATTTCACTCACATGGCATTCCTGTAAATGAAATTTGATTCAATTCCATAAGGAATGTTTGAAACAAATATGTTTTTCATATACTCAATTCAATGTACATGTAAAAGTAATTGTTTCAAAAGTATATTTTCTTTTGTGTAGTTATTGCAGGAGGGCTTTTTGTTTCAGTTTGTGTCTGAAAGTTACTTCTTTGTATGATTTGTAATGACCATTCCCTGGCAAGAAAAACTAATGATTCACTGTATATTTCTTACTGTTAATTCAAGGTTTTTTATTATCTCTAAAAGGAAATCGTCCACGCGAGAATGTTAATATTTTGTCAATTAAAATGGACAATGGAATGGTGAGCATATATTCTGTCGCCAATGAAACAACTCAAATTAGTAAGTAAACAAAGCTGACCTATGGCTTATCTTGCCAAAAGTTAAAGGTCGTTTTATTTTTAAAGCGATACTAAAATATACCCGTTTCAATTATCGTATATTATGAGTAATCAAAAAAAACCAATATTGATGAAAAATGTCACATAAAATTAACTGCAGGCTATAGGTTAGGTGAACCATTAGAACAAAGAATTCAATTCATCAGAAAACAATTCAGGATATATATACAGTTTAAACAACACTTATGATAATACATTCATTTTAAACACTAATGATTGCGCATTAGAAGAATACAAATTAATTTGATTCTTAGATTATACTAAAATAATTTCAAATAACTGTATAACACTCACCAAAAACTGCCACAAAGGCAAGAATGAAATAAATCTTCATTTCAACTTCGAAATCCTTATTTAATATGGATTATGAAGAGAAATAGTCATTAATCACTATTTACGTATATACAACAACACAACCACAGCTGACAATTGCGACTCTTTCTTCCTGTCCAACCAAGTGAAGTCCCAACTTCAACTGACTCATTTGTTGACATGTTGTCAAGTTTATCCTTCAAGACAAAGACAAAGTTCTAGATAGACGAGAAGGAATACGCCGCTTTCAGAGAGAAATAGCAGAAGGAGTAATGTAGAGAATGAGCGTGACAGAAAATACAGCATCAACATTAGTTTAGTTCGGAACACATCAAAGAAACACTCCTTATGATTTTCATATCTTCCTTTGTTACAAATATTTTAGCAAAAGATTTGTATAACAAAGATTCCTCATGTATAACAAAGATGGGTACAAACTACCAAAAAAATCAAAACGTATGTGCAAACGTTCGAGTTGATAATAATTAAAATTATGTACAGCCACTGAATTGAAAATTTGATAGTTCACTGTAATGTGACAGGTTCTAATTTGGCTACCAGTCAACAGATGGCAGACTGATGACCCACTTGAAATTTTCTACCAAAAAGTATGCATTTTTGAGTCGTGGAAAAATTCTTGGATTCTAACGTTTTTATTCTTTTTCAGTTATTATCAACTTCACAAAATTAAACAAGAATATACGGTTTGACAATATTTCATTTTTCTACCGTTAGTGCCCTCTTGTAGAGATTTTCCTCATCACTCCTTGGTTTCATGTATGTTGAACTGCTGTTTCATAGATGGCAGTACATAGTTTGAAAATTGTTTGTCAAGGGGATTATAAAAATAGTACAGCTATTTAGTAATAGATCTCAAGTTATGAAAATAATGTTTTGCTCCCGACTTAGACCCTTGATATATGTTATAAATTCGAAAATGTTCATTGAAACCTTTTTGATTTATTCCAGTACGAAATGTGATAGTAACTGAATTAATAAAAGGGTTTGAATAATATATTTCGATAGATGATGATTGTATTCCGAAAATATCACAGAGTCTCAGTGCATGGAAGAAGTTTGAATAATATATAACAATTATATTGGAAGTCCTCGCATACAATGATCATTATTTTCTTTCATGTTATTGCCATCTGTTATTGAATTAATAAAATTTGCTGTGGTAAACTTTCATATAACTGTTTGTCTGCCGTCTAAGAAATGTCGCCAATTGATCAAAAACTACCTTGTTGGAAACTGTATTCAAATCAAAAATTTTGAAGTGAGATTACAAGTATGGCAAAAGTGACATAGTATGTTCGGTACTTTATTATTTTGAAATCAGAGGTCTGTCACGGAATTGGTTAACCGTGTGATCAGCAAATAAGTGGCACTGTCAAACGGCTGCGAAACGTTTACCAGTCTAGAAATGTCAAATGAAGAAACAAGAAATGACAAATCAAATACTCGTGTTTGAATGTTTGTCTCCATCATTTGCAGCTGAAGTGAAAAACGTTTATACCAATTGCCTTGTACTTGTGGATTCAGCCGACAAGGTCGCAAAAGTTTGGCGAAGGCGCCGGTTAGAGAGATGTCAACGTGGCATAGATGAATCTTTGCGTCACCCCTCTCTAAGGTGAGTGGATAACAATTCAATGAAATGTTTATGGAATCTTTACAACTGGATAATCGGCGAAACATACACCGTCCATGAATTTTATAATAAAGAATTAAAAGACTTGTGTTTTAGTTTGTCTTCGTGGACGGATCAATTTTCTAATCGGTCAATTTCAGACTAGGAAGTAATATGTCAAATGTCACAAATATGTTTGTCACTCAACAGCACTAAATTTGTTAATTTTGTGCTAAATGGTGAAACCAGCAATTATTTGATACTTTTGAATTTGGAGCATTTTCAACATAATGTCTAACATCTTTAAAGATACCCTCTATATGAATTCTAGAAAGGGCATTGAAGATCATACATAATCTATACGTACCTACTTGCTCAACCTTGAAGACACCAATAGGTTATGCAGTTCTTCGGTCATCAATTGAAACAGTCAACATGTTAACTAATTTCCAAAATGATCAATATTTGTTCTTTATGTAATAATACATCTTGTTTCATAATTACCCTTTATCTTTCTGGTCACGACAGGACAACTATGTATACAGTTGTCCTGTTCCTTCATTTCCATTGATAATTCTTTGTATCTCTCTGTGTTTCAAAATTTATTGAAAGAGTTTCATCATCGTTACCAACGTTATATATTTTGTCACCATTACTCATGATTTAACAAAGTTGCGTGGAAGCCATCTAAGCCTTATTTTGTTCTGCGGATGCTCTTAGCCCGTTTTGCATCTCATTTCGTATTCAGTAGGAGCGCTAAAGTATTTTGAATATTCCTACCCCTTAGGTTTGTTCATTTCATCTTCTAATTGGAGAAAGTGTAATGAAGTGGGATTAGGAGAGGGAAAATAAACCACATCACAATATGAATGTGACTACCGTTTATCGAAGACTCCAAAACACCCATTTTATCCTTTACCGGTATTTTTCAGCCAGTATATGCCTACATTGGTATTCAAACCAACTATCAATTGAGTTATACCTTTCCAATCGGCCATAATTCGTAAAGATAGAAAACAACAGTTCCTCAAGGATCAGTTTGAGGCCCCTTCCAGTTTTTTTGTTTAATATTCATGACCTGACCACACTTAGTATCTCTGGTTTGTCATTCTTTCTGCTGATGACAGCATATTGCTGTGGCACAATAAAAACGAGGGATTCTTCCATGAGAATATCTGCAAAGATTTAGTTAAAATAATGGATGTTTTCAATCAAATATTTCATCCGTGTATTACTCCACGGATCTTTTGGTGGTTCCGATGTATACCTTCCCACAAGTGCACTGTATGCGATGCCCCTGCTGCTGATAGTGGGTCTCTTTGGTCTTTAGCCGACCTGAGACTTTGTTGTTTCTTCCTGGTGGGTTTAAAAACCGGTTCAATGTTGTGCTTCCTTAAACATTTTTCAAGTCTATCTGTGCAACCATCTGAGTCTCCTCCTCGTTTTGAACCGTGAAACTCTTCAGTTTCATGGCCTTGTTGACCTTGGGTCAAGGTCACTTAGATACATTCCAGTTCTTCCTCTAAATGATCTGGTTCACATATTCCTCGAGCTGGTCCTGTTTAGTCTCCATAGCGAATTTGCTGCTGGGGTGTTGAGCGTTCAAGTGGTCTAGGAAAAGGTTTAGAGCGTCCCTTCCATGTTCCCAGATAACGATGGTGTAATCCACGTAACGTAGCTACAAGGTCGGCTTCAATTCAGAGATGTCGATTGCCTTCTCTTCAAAATCTACTATATAAAAATGGATGCTTGTTGGTTGGTTGGTTGGTTGGTAAGTGATAAACTTCTACATCGATCAACCGATCGTGATGAAACTTGACATGTATAAGTAGTTTTTCATAGAGAAGGTTTTTAGGCTCTCAGTGCCACTAGATGGCACTGTAGAACAATTTTTTGAAAGCACTGTTCTATAACGCTGCGCACGCCTAAATTCGTTGATTCTGATTCTGTCAAAACATTGAAACATCAGCGATACAGCAACATAGTACTAGTATTCCATAAAATAGTTGGCTATCTCTGGGCTAAGTCGGATTTCCAACATAGTACTGAAAACCAGTGAACTGAAACGGTTTTTCAAACCAGCTCAGACAAATCGGAAGTGACAGAGCTTTCCATCGAGAACGGATCCACCATAAACTGAGACAGCCAGCGGAGATGGACAATGCCTTGCTGAAACTACACCTGGAGCTTGGCAACCGAATGAAATCTCAAGCTGGAACAGAAAAAAATTTCGAACCCACACCTAAAAATTTCACAATTGTCAAAGAATTGGAAATACGTTTTGCAGGTCGGCAGAAATTCTTGCAGGTCGGGTCTCAATTCCATGAGAAAATTGAAATATTTCGTATTCAAAGGGTGGGGGTTCGAAATTTTTTCTGTCGAAAAAAAAAATCTGGTCGATAGCAACGACTACTGAGAACAGTTTGCCGACCTGCAAAATAGTAATACCCCGAAAACCACAAAGGGAAGTTTGGAAATCTACACAAGACTGGAGGTTCAGTAGCCCCACGTTTAGACATGTCCCTACCCTATCACAAGGGCGTCGCCAGCTTATGACTAAGGGGGGCAATGGGGCAATATTATGGAGGATAAAAAATATGAACGCCTGGTACAGTTGAAAGCATGAAGCGTTACATTTTGGAAGTCTTTGCCTCGATGACGATTGTAATAAGAACGGTTCTGATACCAATGTATAGAACTTCACAAGCCCTCGACAGCACAATAACTAAATCAAACTTTTAAACACAGTAATAATTATTTATTTCAACAAAAATAATATTTAATTGAAACAATCTGCGGAGATTTTTAGCAACTGCTTTATCACTAAGTTGTCATCTTTTGCATCTCCGCCGGGTGTAACTTAGATAATACGAATGATGACGTGTTTTTTTCAGCAAGACGCACTTCAAGGGAGGGATGATTGAATCCAAGTATGGTATTACTAAAGACCTCTTCCAGCATTCTGAAGAGTTTTCTGCTGGATGATTGCTTCTATGACGTTGTTTCCCCGTAATACGCAGCATTGATGTAATATCTTCCTCCAGTCCAACTTTCTCCGCAACAGCAGTAGCTTCCTTTATAATTTTATCAGTCACTTTTTCCGGATTTTCACGGTGGTTTTTGATTAAAAGTAAAATCCTTCTAACGTGTTCCAAGGCTTTGACCACGTCCAAAGCTACAGATTGGAGAACGTTGACAACGGGTTCCATCAAAGCCGAGTATTTGGCTACCAACATAATCCCGAGAATGAAAGAAATTCGGGAAGTAGCCGCATGCAGCTGGAAGGCACTTTTCCGAGTTGCACTATTTCCTTCCTGAGATAATGTTTGTAAGGCTTCCAGAATTATTGTGAGATTTTCTTTAAAAACACTAATGGTTTTGTGTTTCTCACTCCATCCTGTCTCGCAAAGTTTGGAAAAAACAATCTGCGGGGATTTTTAGTAAAACTTTCAACTACTTTATCACTAAAATGATTTAGGTTTTTATGTGTTATAGCTCTGGGTACACTCATCATGGCCAGACCATTAAGGCG